GATAGGAATGAAGACAACCTAACCGATAGTAATAAGATGCTCGAAAAAATTGTCTAAAGATATAATTAGAGAGAGTAGTATGTCTTGGTACTTTCTATTTGGAAACATTGTTTTTATAGACCATTGAAAGGATTTGATTTATTATTGGTTACTTTGTATGAGAAGTTGGTTGCTTAATTATGCCTTGACCATGTTGGATACAATTAGAGGAGTGTTTATGGGAGCAATACATAAGGCTAGTGTTTGATTGCTAACATTCTCTAGCTAGGCATATAAGTAGTTCTAATGCCATTGATCATTCCAATTCCTCAAATTCAAAAATTAATAGAATCTAGTTGGTAAATTTCATCACTCTTCCTATTGTTGAAATTGTTCTCTTTCAAGCTATTCTCTAAAATCTTTCTTAGCTTATAGGTTTGCTCGATTCATTTAATAAGGATTATTGTATCATCAAACTTAGGTGATGAATTGTAAATGATGTTATAAAAGTAAACTTTACAAGTATTAATTAACATGGAGATCAATTCTTTCTCTATTAATGAAGAATATATCTAGACATCGACCTTATGTCATCCATGGGCATGCTCTTTGAAAGACTTTTTAACAGTTTCTCCAATGTTCCGCAAATTGGTTCTATCTAAAACTACTTTCAAGTTGAATTTGTACTAAAGAATAAATGCATTAACCAAATTCTTCTACCTTTGAATCTAAACTTTATTAAGACACATGTACCTATAAAAGGCAGCACCACCCAGTGCTCTCATGAAATTAATGGATTGTTAGCTTTTAATTATAGGTAGCCTTTGCTATTTTTTCTATAATAGACCCTAAGGTAAGTTTTTGGGCATTAGGTCTTAGTATACTTGGTGAATTTAGGCACTATGATTTTTTTTTTTAGATAAATACCTCAAGCACTAAGTATATTTTAGCTACTTTCATCGAAATATATAAGTCTATGCCATCAATAGCCTTTAGATGCTCTTTCATAGAACTACACTTGTAAGCTTCCTCTCCTTCAACATCTTGACCCTAGATTGGCTCCTCAATAGTGGTATCAATAACTAAAACTAGCTATCTAGTGGATACCATATTGGGATATGATGTCTCTTGTGTAGTGAATAGAGTTTCGTATCCTAATTGTGCGAAATTGGTGGATGCCTCCCGAGAGATAGGTGATGGTACCATAGTTGTGGCGCCCCCTCCCCGACCCACTCATTAATTACCCAAAAGGAGTGGCCAAGCGAGGAATGCGTTATACCGGCATGGCTAATCCCGACTTAATCCTAAATTTGTACGTGCTCATACATTAAGGGCACATAATATAATAAAACATGTATAGTATAATTACATAACATTAACGGATACAACGAAAGAAATTATAAATTATTTACAATACCATTAAAATGTCTACCAACATCCCAACCCAAAATTACAATCAAAATAAACTTCATTACGTTTGTATCATGCATGTGCCCTTTTTAGGAGGAACCGTGCAGCATCCTTACTATTTTGACCATTTCTTTTCATAACATAGAAATAACAACGATGTGAGCCGAAGCTCGGTAAGTGGGGTGATGCATGTGATATGCAATGCTTTTCCGACTTTCTCACTATACTCATAGATTTTAATTCCCGGTACCATAGGTATTAGCAAGTCTACTCTATTGATGATTACTAAATCACCTAATGCTAACAATGAAATTATCTCTCATTGTAGCCACTCGTTAGTGGGAATCCATCACCCAACAAGTACGAGTAACATAGATTAGAGTACGCATATAGTTGGACCGCTAATACCCATTTATTCCAACTAGGTTACCAAACCTAATCATGTAAACCAATTCTCAATCAATTGACTTTTCTCAATCCACCCCACAATGCACATGATGCACGTGATGTTACATTTATCATATTAAACATATCCAACCTATACAAGATTCGATTTCATATATTTTTATAGGTCCAACCCTCACAAGGTTTCGGGTATTCTCTTACTTTTTATCATAATATTCACCTCGTTAGAGTTAAATATCGACAATTGGTATTGGTTAAATCGGGGATCTAATTATGTACGTGAATACTTTCCTTTTTGTTTTCTTTAGTAAATCTCGTCGTTAAATCGTTCCACACTTGAATTACATCGTTATTAGCATTTGGACCAATTTTCAACATGGTAAGGTATAATTTTACTTTCTAGCCCGATTTTAATACTTTTAGATCGAATTTAGTTCTTAAGTCAAAATCTTGATTTCTTTGGAAAGCTTACCTTCCAATTTCAATTTTATTCCTATTTGTACCTATTTGAACCATTACTTATCAAATTAATTTAATGGACCCAAAATCTCATTTTTCTAAGTTTAGGCCGAATGAACTTCTAAATTTTACAAGAAATGTTCTTTGGTTTTATATGAAGGTTCTTTTTTTTTTTTTTTTTTGGGTTCAAAATGACTCATTAAACATAATTTGTTCACCATTAAAATTCAAATCCTTAAGTATCAAAAAGGTACCATCTTTCCCATTTTGGCTGAAAGTCACATTAGGAAAAACCCTAAAATTTAATTTCTCTTTTTTCCTATTTTACTTTGTCCAAGTTTATATCAATCCTAGTTTAGTCTATCAAGGTTCGGTCAAGCCCCAATTCTTTCAATCAAACCTATCAATACACAAAAATAGCCATGCAAAAGGCTTTCCAAACTCAATAAGCAATATATCAACCATGCCTTACATATTCCATAATAACCAACAATTATATGCCAAGCCATCCAATAGAATACCAATACAACAACACCGTACAACATAATCATAAGCTTAATCAATTACATAAATTAATGTTTAAAAATCAAATAGATGGCATAGATAAAGACCCACTTACTTAGTTTAGGTTTGTTAAGGATTTCCCTAGTTTTTTCCTTCTTTTTCTCCTTTCTTTCTTTCCTTTTTTTTTTTTTCTCTCTTTCTTTTTCGTGTTTCTCTCCCTTTCAATGATGTTTTTTTTCTTCTTTTGGGTGAGCTACGGATTTCACTAAAACAAATGGCTAAATTTCATCTTTTCCTTATATATATACTCCATTTGCCTTCATTATTTAGTATGCTACATGTCCTTAATTAAGTTGTCTAAGTATAAAGTAAAGGAAGACTTTGGAAGGCAAGGTGGCAATTTGGAAGTCAAAGGTGATGAGTTGTCATCAATTACATTAAATGAAGTGCTTAAGTATCTAGTTAGTTGCTCAAGATGATCATTAAGCTAACTAAATCCTTAGTCTAGTTTAGTTTAAGGGACCATTTCTTTCCTAGAAAATTTGGCCATTCCTCTTAAAGAATTAATTTGGCAATTTCTTCCCTAGTAATTTGGCAATTTCCTTCCTAAAAATTTTTCAACATTCCTCACATTGTAACATACCTTTCTCACTTGTATAATAGGTTCCATCAAAAAATCAAAATGGCACATAAATCACACTCTTGCTCAATGTATGTACGTACGAATATCCTTGTACGTGTATTTATATGGCTAAAGACTTTATGGGGGTTACGGTAGTAGCTATTGGTGGAAGAATAGTGGGCTCTTCAACAACAATTAGTACATATGATCTAATCTCTTTCGGTGTCTCCTCATCTATTTGTCTTGCTTGCTCAAGCAAACTAGCAAATCAAGCTATTTATCTCTTAAGGACTTTGACTTCTCTAGTATGATTTTGCTTTAACCGATTTCTTTTTTCATTCTCCATCTTTCTCTTAAGTTTGGTGTTGTAGATTCTTAATAAAGGTTAAGCTTTAACGATGCGACCTATATTTCTACATATGACATATTAAATAAAAGATGAATAACAATTTCATTAACTAGAGAGATTGGATGTGAGATTGTCAATCAAGACACCTTTGATATGCCACGATAAGTTGTTGCCATACTAAAGGTTCTAAGAGTTGAGTTTAAAGCCGATTGCCTTCACAGAGGACATTTGTCTTTCAAGTATATGCAGAGAAAACTTCTTTTCAACATCTTTCTTATGAAACGCTTTCTTATAAATTCGACTTGAAAATGCAACACCTATGAGAATTTATAAGAACCATGCTAATCATTGTAAATTCTAAATAAGGATGCAATGCCTATGAAAATTTGTAATGAAATATAATAACTTTTATTCTTCGTGTCAACACATTATTTGGTCCTATGTGAATACAATCAATTAGTTATACGCTAAAAAAATTCATTACATTATGAGATAGTTAAATCACATTTTTTAGTGAAATTAAGAAATTTATAAAATCAAAATAAGTAAATTATAATAGAGTCATTTGAGATATTATAAAATTATTAATATCATTAAAATTTTTTAACTAAAACTCTCTTCACATTTTAAAAAATAAATACAATAAATATTTTATTTTATATTTAAAATTTACTTATTATTATAAAAATAGATTTAGACCCATAAAGCATGTTTTGAATATATATATATTAGGTTCATTTTTTTTTTTAGAGAGAATGACCAGCTAAATTTTTTAACTTATTTTTCTAGTTTTTTTTTCTAAATTTTATTTATTTAAATTTGATAAAAAAAATAAGAAAGAAAAATAGAATAGATAGATGAGATTAAAAGAAAAAAGAAAAAAACAAGCTAACATCGTTAATCTAAAAAAAAATAAAAACAGAAAGAAATAAACATAATACGAAAGAAAATAAAAAGACATAATAAAAACAAAAGAAAGAACAGGGAGTCTCTCCAACTATTAGTCCATCGTTATTTCTTTGACTGTGTTTGAGGCATCGCCTTGCCAATTTCTTTAATTTTGAATTTCTGACCACTTGAAACAAAATAAAACAGCGTTATTCTTTTTTTCAAAGAAAAAACAGCATGGGACCCAAATGATGAAACGACAAGTCGGCCTATTGGTTCATCAGAAAACAGAGGCCAGCTTGTGAAAGCACATAAATAAACGCCATATCGGTCTTTGATGAAGACAGCCAGTAAGCAACCCATCTGAGTGTTGCGAAAGAAATCATGTTTAGGGCTGCAATTAGGTACTTTTCAACAAAACCCAAGCCAAAACTGAAACCAACAGAGCTTAAAACACCACCGGAGCAAACCCAGACAATAACAAGAGTCATTTTTGACGTTGTGAAGGAACACGGTCCTCTCACTATTGCAGAAACCTGGGAAAAGGTCCAGGTAATTTATTCAATCTTTCCCATAAATAGGTCCCTTTTATCCTTTTTGCTATGATTGTTTTCTTAGTTTTTGTGGGATGCTTTGTTTTAATTGCATGGTGTTTGATGAATTGTCTGAGTAGGAAGTTGGATTGAGAGGTTTGACAAGCAAAAGGCATATGAAAATAGTGTTGAGATGGATGAGAGAGAGGCAGAAGCTCAAACTTATTTGCAACCATGTAGGGCCTCATAAGCAGTTTCTTTATACAACCTGGTTCATCAAAGCCAACTTCAAGCAGCAAGCAAAGCCATTGAATAAACAGCATTCACCTTCATCACCCAAGTTGCCTTGAGATTGCATCAGTGTTCTAATGGAGGCAAGGCACTTGCTTAAATCAATGCAATCTTTCTTAGCGGTTTGTCATGACTACTGATGAACAACTGTGAGACGATGCAGGATTAGTGGTTAACTGCTAAAACCATCCTTTGTATATATACCATGGATGGCAGGTTGAGCAGATTCTGTTATAGTTGGTCACATCTTATATTGTCTATGGAATTCCAGTTTCAGTTATAAAACGAGTCCTACTACTGTTAAGATTATGGTGTTTGACCTTGTGGTAATCATCCACTGATTTTTTTCAACTTTGATTTGCTTGGAGAGAGTTTATCTAACCATTTCTTTGGTTTAGTTGGCTCGAACACTATACATTTTTTACACAAATCTAAGAGAGGCCCACCTGCAATTCGACTTCTATTCAAAGAAATTAAAGGTCACCTTGCCTGGTGTTCATGGTACCCTCAGACAGGTGACTCATAAGTATGGCTGGATTAAAATTTCATTTGCTGATTTCATTCTGGATTTTGGCACATTGTAATGTAGATCCTCATGAATAACCCAAAGACCTTCATATGATGAAGTCACAGGCGTTGATATATGACAAAGACAACTACGTAAACAGGCCACTGTTCATCTAACCATGTACATAATTTACAGCCCACCCCCCCCCAAGAAAAGGTATGGCTATGGCTATAAGCTAAACTACAGATTTCCTATCATCAGTGAAGGCAGTCTCCTTGTAAAATTTTCATGGAACAGCCTAGAAATGCAGCTCGCATAAGAAGATTATGCTCCAGCAAAATATGAGGGGAGGACTGATCTTCAAAGTGTTAAGAATGAGGGTGGCTCTTTAACTTCCGTAAAACATCTTTCAGCACTGAACCAATTCTGCGTGCCATGTGATGTTCTAGGAACATCTCTCTGACCCTCTCATAGCCTCTCTTTCCCATTGTAAGCCTCCTCTCGACATGAGTCGCAAGTTTTACAATATTCGTTGCAAGGGGAGTAACCCCTTCTTTTCTGACTGAATGCAATAATCCTGTAGTTCCGTTCACAACAATCTCTGTGGTGCCTCCTACTGCTGTTCCCTGACATAACAATATATAACAAACCGCAAGTCCTCAAAACCAGCTATAATATAGACAGGAACTTAACTATCAAGCATATTACAAGAAATGTCAGGATCAAATGAAAAGCCTCACCAGTACGGGCAGCTGAAATGCCATTGCTTCAATAGTTATCCTCCCAAAGCATTCACCCCGTGCCTAAATGGATATGCAGAAAGAAATTGTTCATAAGAGCTATTGTACTTCGAGTTGCTTGGAAGAGGAAACAAAATTTTGAAGAACATCCACAACAACGCAATCAGGTAAACAAAGGTTTGGATGAACCTTGGATTAGATAAATGAGATCAAAACAAAAGAGAGACGTAGAAGCCTCTATAAGCATCCATGATTCATCTCAATGACTCAGATAGAATTGTTTCACATCAAAAGACTCTTTGCTTCATTTTATAAGATGCACCTCTTACCCAATAAAATAATAACGTTCCCAGTCAGATTATGGCACCAACATATTTGACTTCATGAAAATAAACTGCTCTTGTTTACTGTTTAATCATGTGTTTTTAACTCTGGGAGGAGGCCCTAGTTCATTATTTGTGAGTTTGCAGCTAAGAGTTGCATCTTTCATGCCTAATCTATCCTTCTTTTTCATTCCCTATCTTTTTTCGGTTTATATGCTTTTAATAATATGCAACAAAGCCATTTCCTTCTGAACACAGCATCAGCATAACAAACACAGCTGGCTCAATGAAGATAATCATGTCAAAAACCATAAATCAATTAAGATAATGATATCAAGATCAAAAAACAATAGTTACTCTACTAAACTGGATATTTAGAATAAACTACAGCATATGAAAAAAAAAGAAAGTGCTGTAGGCATCATGAAACTACCTGTGAATTCTGAACAAGAACATCAATTGCAGCTAGATAAGGAGCTACAGTCAAAGTTTTATTTATAAAGTGAACACGATCTTGAATTTTTTTCTGCATCACATAGTTTCGTAATTCTGTCTCAAACTTTCTCTGAGCGGTCATGTCACTACCCACAATTACTGCATGCATTGATGGCACCTTTAGCTTCCTCTCTTGGATTAATTGTAAGCTCTCATAAAAGGAACGTAGGAATAGATCCTGGCCCTTTCCACGCGAAACGCCTGCAATATATTTTACCGATCATTAATAAATAAACATATGCCAATTGATCCAACCAGATATAACTCTTCCCCCTCTCCCTTGTTCTGATGCTTCTTTTGAGTGAAGGTGCGTTAGATTGGCTGGGAAGTTGTCTTAAAAGGCACAACAAAGGAGAAACATACTACAATATAAAGAACCAGCTAAGAGGAGAAAAAAGAAACTCACGTCCCAAGGTTAGGGTTTAAAAAGGTAATGAACAAAAATCTTCATATCTCCTTCCAATTGAATGAAACATGACCCAGTCATCCATTTTAAGTAAGGATATGAATTCATCAATAGAAAAGCAGGTGCAGAGTCAAAAAGAGAACATATGATCTAATTAGCATGAAAAACATACTGTTAATAATGGCAAAGAGTATATCTTCATCTCGTACTCCAAGAGACTCCCGAATATGCTCACGCAAAACCCTTTTGGCCACACTATCTTCGGCAACCTCCATTAGTTCCTTGCTATTTCCAAGGTGAACCACATAGGTCTCAGGCATTGTAATCCTGCAGAAGAGACAGAAAAGAATTACTGAAAAGGAAAACATAAAATATATATATATAAAAAAAAGATTATGGGAACACGAATACCATATAGAGAAATGTACTTCCAGATTTAGGTTCCAACAAAGACAGCTATATTTAAGTATTTAAGATATTTATCAAGCCTTGGCTCAACTGAGCATGGACACAATTCTTAATTATCTATAGGAATCGATATATTCATTCCAATACTTGAGCCTTTAATGACACATATTAAGAAAAATTATATATCAGAAAATTAAATCCTGGGGGTGGGGGTGGCACTGGGCTATAGAAAGTAAGTGCTGCAGTCACTAAAAGAGTTCGAACAAACAGATTAGAAGTGTACCTCAAACGTTCTTGAGTTCTATTCTTCCAGTATTCTGCTGTCACGTGTGAATCAATCACAGCACCAGCAACCAAGGGAAGGTGCTTGACATAATCCAATTTGAAATAATGCCCCCGCATTTCATGGATCCACCACAACACCTTGGGGAGAACGCGTGGAACATTCTCCTTGAGCACAGCATCCAGCCATTTCCCAGCAACTGCAGTGTTCAAGACAACCAGATCAGCCTTAAGAGCTGTATCTCTCGCTTCTTGACCCTTTGCAGAGAACACCTGTATGCATGTTATAGCTTCAGTTCATGAAGAGTCAAAAGCTCATCTCCAACTTTTTATTAAGGGATGGCATGATCATATATATGATGCCAGTGCAGTTGAGAAACCAGGCCAGACTTAATTTCATATTCCAATTAAGATGAAAAGTTGACACTTGCCCAACTTAATAAAGCTATATAACTTAATCATGAATCACTTAAGAATGGGAACAAAATACAAGGTTACATGAAATCTTAAGAAACTGCAAGAATTTTTTGATAAATGCTGCAGTAGTTAAAAGCACAATCATATGCTAGAACAATCAATTTGATCAGCTAGAACAGTAAATACCTGCACTCCTCGGACCAACATCTTTTGCTCCAAACTGTACACAACCTCATCAGTTTCTGATGGTTTCTGGATAGTAATCCAGCAAACTTCAGTACCAACACCTCTTAGTAGAAATGCTAGTTCCATCAGCAACAATGGTCCACCTGGAAAAATAAAACACATGAGCAAGTTAGCTCAAAATCACGGAAAGGATAAAAGGAAGAGAATATACTAATTATGGATCAACATGAAAATCAGCGAGAAAATTGATGGATAGATGAGATTTCATGCATCGAACATATAAGAAACCACTGTGCAATTACATGCTTTCTAAATTTTCATCTCTGCTATATAGAATACAAAGACTTATGAAAGTAAAGCAAGTGAAAGCAGCTCCCCAGTTGGCAAAATGAATGTTATTTGGTTGTTAACACTTGTCCATAATACAAGCAATACATTCATTAAAGAAAAACACAGAAGACCAAATGAATGACACGTCCTAATTCCTACCAGAGCAAATTTCCAGCCACGTTCCTCCTCCAAATAAAAACATATTGATAATTGAATATCTTACACAATAACTTCCTATTATGGGCAGCCAGGAAATTTCATGAATTGACATAATATAGGAAGCCTCCTGCTACATAGTTTTCCAAACCGTAAAAATCGTCATATAAGCACATAAATTAATGGAAGCCAGTTACTTAGGCATGTAAATATTACCTTTTTGTCCACACAAATGTTAATTTAGACATTAACACTTGTCAGATCATCCATTCCACACACTTTTCTATGAAAAGACAGTGACAGCCAAAACAAAAATTCTTCAAACGACAATGCAATCGCGATAAAACTTTTAAAAAATTCTCTTAAAGCATGGCCATGTAAATAGTGTAACTAACTAAAATGAAGTTAAAACTCATACTCAAAAAATATTAGAAAAAAAAAAAAAAATTTGCTAGGAGATCTTCTAAACTATATCACTATGCACATAATCCATGAATCACCAAATCAGGCATTACAATGGTCATCTCAAAACACCTTCAAAATGCTCAGCAATTTAGCCATCTTAGGATAATAATTATCATTATTAATGAGCCAGAAAATTTCCATTTGGTAAACTACAACTTGACGACTTGTTTTCCTTTTTTAAAAAGAAGAAGAAGAAGAAGAAGAAGAAGAAGAAGGAAAAAAAAAGGATGACATCAGTGTACCAATATAAAACACATGCACAAACACTTACTCAAAATATCCAGCCGACTCAACAAAGTAGTAAAATCAAGCTAATTAATTTCCTACTAGCACACGTTTTTTAGCGTTAATTAAACTCAAACTCAACAGGAATAACTTCAAATTATCATCACCTGCCTTTCCAAATTCTACAACCATTACAAATATCATACAATAATCCACGCATATCCTAACCTAATTTAAAGTAAATGCAAAACTTAAACAGCCTAATTAAAAGTCAACGCAATGACAACACTAATTATCATTTTCTTATTCTTCAATCAAAATAAACATAATTAATTGTATATGCTTCTGATATCCTAACCAAATTTAAAACTCAGTTTTTCTTCTCTGTTTATGCCCTTATAGTGGTTGAATTAAATTAAATTATTAATCAAAAAATGTAAAAAAAATAAAATCAAAACGATAATAATATGACAAAGTAAAAGGAGTACCAGAAAGAGAGAGCTCGTGAGATACCAAAAGGACGAGCTTAGACTTCATGAAACTAAGAGGATTCGGTGCCGTTTTAATCGAAATCGAATTCGAATTAACTTTGACCGGTTTCTGTGAAGCAGCAACATCGAAGTTACTGTGGGGGCGATCGCAGGAATCGAAAGCGGATTTAATGAAGAAACCAACAAGAGTGGAGACAGAAAGCATGATTAAGAGTGCTAAGAGCCATCGTTTTTGCAATGAAGTAGGAGCCCACCCAGCTAGATTATTGTGGTGGTGGTGCTGTTGTTTTGCCATTTTTTCAAGGATTTGAGAGTTTCGGTATTTTCCAGAGGTGGGGATGGTGGTGGTTTATTAATTGGCATATTATTTTAGCAGTGCAGGGTTTTGAGTATTGATTTTGTTAGGATTGGTTTTTTTTTTTTTTTTGCTTTTGGATTGGTGAGAGTGGCTTACACTTGGAAAGAAAGAATGAGGTTTTTGGGATTTTGAAAGAAAGTGACTGTTCTGTAAGTGAATAATGCGATTTTTTATGATGATGAAGTACTTCACGAGAAGTGAGGAGGACAAGTCGTTTCAGGTTTGGGAAGACAATTTTGACAACTTTTTTAGTGGCTGGGATTTGGTTGAGAATACTGGGGCTCCCCTGCCGTTGCCTGATGATTACAAGGTTTTTATTTATTTATTTATAGACAATAAGATTATTTTTTATTAGTTTACATGTTAAAAAAAAAAAAAACTGTATCTATATCGAGAAAGACTAAGGTAGTGTGTGGTAAAACTGAAAATTAAGTCATGAATCCGTTAAATACCGAATTTTAAGTTGACAAGTTGTTTGGTATTAACCGAAAATTAAGTATCGAATATAATAAAGTTGTTTAATAAGTACTATTGCTTGAACATATTAAGGCTATATACATGACAATTTTAACCTTATAATTGTAACATAATATTTTTTTAACACAAATAAAAATATAATTTGTGTGTATAAGTAGATAAATAAATAAATAAAAATTTAATAAAATGATTATTAATAAAAAATTAAACACAATTTAAGATAACATTAATTGTCATATAATGCATAAAATAAATAAATCTCAATTACTAATCAATTCATTTGCAATTTGATCTCGCAAATTAATCATAAATGTTTAATTAGATCGGGCTTGCGCCCTCTTCCAATGAATGGTAAATTTAGTGTTTGATGCATCACATCATCACCATCAAATTGTTCAAAAAACGCATCGAGTAACAATTGTTCTTCGAAGATAATTATGTATTGCAACACATGCAACAACAATATCTCTCTAAACTACAAATGGATACGGAGTCATTGTCTTTAGAATTAGAAATCTTGCTTCTAGAACACTAAATGCCGGTTCTATAACATTTCTCAATTTTACATGTGCTTTATTACATGCTTCTTCTTTTGATCTTGGATGACGACCATTGCGAAAATCGGATAACCAATATCGTGTATTACGATATGGTGCCATAAACCCTCTAGTATGCGCATATGCGGCATCACAAAGATAATATTTATCTGCCATCAAATATTAATTTAATAAATTACATAAAAAATGTAAAAATTATTAATATATTACACCTAGTAATAACATATCTTAAGGGGAATTTTTTATAAAAAATAATTTAATAATAATGGAAACAACCTACCGGGTGGAGGGATGAGAAAATTATTTGATGAGTCACGTATAATTTACGTTAATACTCTTGAATCATGTGCTACACCTTTCCATCCATCCCAAACAAAAGTAAAAATCATATCAAAATCACATATTGCAAGAACATTTTGAAAGCAATCTCCTCGTCCTCTCCCTCTATATGGGACTTATTGATCGGGTGATATAAGAGCACGAATTAAGGTCCCATCGAGGGCATCTATAGCACCCTATAAACAAATAAAAAAATTTATTAATTTTAAAATACACAAACCAATAAAATTAGAAATAAAAAGTTAAATGTATACGTCCTCATTCAATTTTCTATTTAGCAAAGCGATTTTGACATCCATTTGCCATATCTCATAATCATGATATGCAACAATTGCAAGTATAATCCGAATGGATTTAACCATTGATACTAGTGAAAAATATTTTATCATAATCACCACCTTATTTTCAATGATATCTTGTTGCTAGAAGTTTGACCTCAAATGTATTACATTTCCATCCATGTTAATCTTTCTTTTAAATACCTATTTACACCTAATGAATTTGACACCTTCGAGTAAATCAACCAAAGTCCATACTTGATTAGTGTATATGGATTTCATTTAGATTACATGGCTTTACGCTATTTTTCATAGTCAATGTCTAATCATTGCTTCTTCATAGGCGTTGGGTTCATCATCATGTACAATAGACATATCTCCATGTGTAGTGATAAGAAGGCCATATCTTTCTAGCTCTTGATGAATCTTCTTAGACCTATAAAGTTCTTGTGTATCGGTTGTGGTACAGCTTACAATGTTTTGTAACCTATCTACTTGGGGTTTCTCTAGTCAAGTGTTAATTTGTGAGTCTTCTTAAATCTCATTGAGTTTAATTTTTCTCTCATCGGTTCTAGCATCTAAAAATTCCTTCTCAAGGAATACGAGTACACCTAGCCATGAAGACCTTTTATTCTTGTGATTGGTAATAATAATATCCATTTGTTTCTTTTGGATATCCCATAAATTTACGATTCGTTGATTTGGGCTCTATCTTATCTTTGTCCAAATGTTTGGCATATTCTTCATAGCCTCAAATCTTAAAGAATGACAAATTTTCTTTCTTTCCTTTTCATTTCTTCTTATGAAGTTTATTCAATTGAATTTGTTGGAACCTTGATCAATAATGTCCTTTTTCTCTTTTTGAACACACCATTCATTTATTGTTTTCTAGGTGGACTCCATTGAGAGAGAACCACAATCTCCTTTAAATTATAAAAAAATTCAAAGCTTAAGTATTCTCTACCTCGATCCGATTGAATTACGTTAAAATTTTTGCTAGTTTATTCCTCGACTTCAAACCTAAATTTTTTGAAGTTTTTAAATGCCTCAAATTTATATCTAACTAAATACACATAACCAAAATGCAATCTGTCATTGGTAAAGGTTATGAAATAATCATATCCTTCTTTTATTTTTATAGATATAGGCCCACATACATCACAACATATAAGGCCTAACAAATCAATAGCTATTTCACCTTTTTCATTAAAAAGGGATTTGTCATTTTTGCAAGTAGACAAGATTCGTTTATAATATAAGATTCATAATCAAATAATTCTAGATATCTATTTTTATGCAATTTGGATATGTCATTCTCGTTGGTATGGCCAAGTTGAGAATGCCATATATAAGTTTTGTTTAGATCATTCATTTTGAGTCTTTTTGTAGTTATGTTATAGATGGGTGCGCGTATATTCAAAGTATATAAATCATTATTAATATCGGCATTTTCATATCAAACATCATCTTCATAAAAGGAATAACATTTGTTTTTAAATAAAAATAAAAAAATCATCTTGGTCAAAATAAGAAATGGACATGATATTCCTAGTTATATAAGGAATGTAGTAACAATTTCTAAGTGTATGCACAAGCATAAATGATAATGCTAACTCATAAGTGTCTACCGCTAATGGTACAACTCTTGAACCATTACCCACGCATAGGTCAACCTCCCCTAAGGAAATTTTCCTTGTTTTTTTTAGTCCTTTCAATTTGCATAAATGTGTGCATCACATCTAGTATCAAATACCTATAGTATGGGAATAGAACTAGAAAATTTTATTTCAATAATAAAAATACTTGAGCTTCTTTTAGAACTCTTCTTTAATACCCCTACAAGGTACTCTTTATTGCTTATCATATAGAGCATTTTTCTATGTTGGAGGAAATTCCTCTTATTTATTTTCTCGTCAAGGAAGTTTGTGCCACTCAAGACATTACTTTCATTTATCATTGATTACATTGATGTATTACCAGATCATACTAAGCAACAATCTTGACATGATAGAAAAACGTATGATTTGGCTTATTGAATTATATAAATAAAATAAAGCATAAATTAAAGAAGTAAAATCTATTTTCGCTTCTACTATTTTTTTCAAGTTTTATAACCATCAATATAGGACTCAAAAGAACTTTTTGATTTGTTTTCCTCGATGGCTTAGGATCCCAATCTCTTATATGCATTAACATTGAGTTATCTCAACGAGTCATACATAAAGTATTAGGTAGGTAACTCCTTACCAATTGCATCTAATACAATTTTTAATCTCATTGGCATGACAACTCCTTATTATCTCACATTAGATGTGAATGACAATCTTTGCGTATAAATTCGTTAGAACTTCAATTATCTCGATAAACCTAACAATTCGTTTCAAGTTAAACCCATACATTCGGGGACATTGAATGGCCCATGATTTGATTCCCTCAAGGAAGAAGTGACCTTGGGTTATCTAAATAAGCCAATGATTACTAAGAGAGTTCCCTCCTCATAATATTAGAAGGCAATTAAATTGATATTAATTTGAAGGATTTAACATGATAGGTCTTATCCTAGCATGTATACGATCATTAATCACATTAATCCTATCATTCGTATTATCATTTGTATAATAAAATACATACATCACATGCAAGACTCAAGGACCGATGAGTGGTAATAGATCCGTATTACTAGCCTTGTCGAGCCAAATAGAGACTAGTGATCGAAGTACTTAGCTGAAAAATTATTATAAATTCTATGAGATTGTATTCTCTTCTTTGCTTCTTCTCCTTGCATCTATTCTAATTTTCTATTTTCTACATTTACATTTTTCTAAGTAAAGAACCTAGAGTTACATTCGAGAGGTATAAGATGAGAAGAGAAATACATCATAATGATAGAGAAAGTTGGACTCATAGGTCCTATTTAACAAAAATGTTACAAGTATACATTCATAGAAACTAGGTCAACTCATGTTCGTAGGTGCTTAAGATCCAACCATGTTTGAATATGTTTGAGTTATTGTATTATTGCATTATTTATTTTATTAATAATAAAGAAAGTCTTTTTATTAATTCTTAGTGTTTATATTTATTTACCGAATAGAATTAGATAGAAGCTCATATGATATGTGTTTATATTAATGATTAATTGAAAGATGTGAGACAAACACTAATGCACATAAATAATGTCATTAAATGTCCCAAGTCGTAGCATTGTTAAAAATGGACATTGATAATATGTGGTTGGACTTGTGAGTGTTGTTCTCATGCTATATGATAACGAGTAGGAGATCTC